TGTAATCTGATGTGATTTCCTTATGTGTTGTAAATTCAATCACTATGATCTAATAAGATGGATTAGCGGCAGTTATACTGATGAGGTATACAAGACTGAATAGTGTCTTAAGCCAATCTCTTTTGAGATATAAAAGAGAGAAGAGAGCAGAGACACATGGGAACCTCACACCACCAAGAAAGCAGTGCCAGAAGCAGAGTGCGTCCTTTGGACCTGAGGTTCCTGCGCTGAGATGCTCCCAGACCAAGGGAGGACTGACGCATCACAAGGACCTTCCTCCAGAGCCAACAGAGAGGGAAAGCCCTCCCCTGGAGCTGATGCCTTGAATTTGGACTTGTAGCCTACTGGACTGTGAGAGAATAAACTTCTCTTTGTTAAAGCCATCCACTTATGGTATTTCTGTTACAGCAGTACTAGATGACTAAGACAATGTCCTAATCCCTAACACCTGTAAATATCTTATGTTACGTGGCAAAAAAGACTTTTTACACATGTATTAAGTTTATGTACCTTTAGGGAGATTATTCCTGATTATCCAAGTAGGCCTAATCTAATCACATGAGTCCTCAAAAACAATTTTCTCCAGCTGTGGTTAGATTTGCAGCAAAAATCAGAGAGATTTGAAACATGAAAGTGACTTCACCCACAGTTACAGGACCCTAAGGAAAGCATGAGAAAGAATGTGGGCAATCTTTGGAAGCAATGATTGGCCCTGACGGCAACGGGTCAGAACTGACTCAATGGCACTGGGTTTTGTTTTGGACAGCCAGGAAGGAAACAGGGACTTCAGTCCTACAAGCACAAGGAACTGAATCTGGCCATGAATCTGAGTGAGCCTGGGAACAGATTCTTCACCAGAGCCTCTGGTAAGGAACACAGCTCAGCTGATACCTTCATTTCAGCCTTATGAGACCCTAAGCAGTGGACGCAGCTAAGCCCACAAGTACTTCTGACCGATAGAAACTATGAAACAATACATTAGTGTTCACTTAAGATTCTAAGTTTGTGGTAATTTGTCATGGCAGCAAGAAAACTAACACACATGGCAAATTCCAAAAATAAATATATTTCAAAGTAGTTACAGCGAAGGATGTATGGGTAAAAAAGAATGGAAGTGGGGCCAGGGATGAAGCTGGTAAAGCAGGCAGGGTCCAGATTATGGAAAATCTAAGGCTTTATTATGTAAGCCATGGGGAAGTGCTGAAACTGTTTTTTTGTTTTTTTTTTAAAGTGGGAGACATGACAAATAGCAGGAATGTTGTTAACTGGGGAAGAAAGGGAGACCATGGAGAGAGATGTAAGTTAGGCATTTATAACAATTATCTACGCAATAAAATTATCTATGAAAAAGATGATGAGAGCGTGGACCAAAGCAAAGAGAATGAAAAGAGAGAGAACCAGTAGGCTTTGGGATATTTCAGAAGCAGAAACACAAGCCTTGGCTCCTGATTGATATCAGAGATGACAAACCAATTACAGTGATTCAAAGGATTTTAGCTTGCTGATGTGGTGGGTGATGATGTTAACAATCAAGATAAGAAACACAAAAAAAGCATTATATTTGAGGGAGCTAAAAGTAGGAAGTAAAGGGAAAAATATGCTTTCCCCTCTAATATTAAAACAAATGGAAGGCACGATTATGAAATTTTAACCAATGACTAAACAAAATAGCATCTACTTTGTTAGCCTCTGTTACCTCTGCTGTTGCTTTCCGGGTAGGCAAACGTAGGCTTATTTGGGGAGCGTCGCATATCACTATTAAGGAAAGGCTTATCGGGTGGATATACTACATATGGAGATGAAGAATGGCGAACCATATTTCCATTTGACCTTGATGGTTCAGCTAAGTTGTTCTGAAAAGTGAAAACATAGATATTATCTTTCAAAAATTTAAACCACAAACAGCAAGTAAATATATGCATTCACGACCAAGAACTGGACTGTTCATATATTACACTGAGAGGGACAACAGAAAAAAAAATAGATCCCACTTACTATACACAGTAAAATATAATCTTACTTTTCCTTTTTTAAATATGACTTTTTATTAAAGAGTTTCATATATGTCTAAATGTAGGCGAACACTATAAAAAGCAAGTAATTTCCAGAAAATTTGAATACAAATGCTATACAGAAATACTGAAATATGGTACTCATGATCAATATACTGAATTTTAAAAATACATACAGTGAAATGTACATTCAGAAAAGTAAACATTGTCTTTTTACAAGATCAGAAACTGCTACAAATGACTGAATTAATCTATCCCCTACCAACTAAATACCTTCTGAATATTTATAAAATGTCCAAAACTGTGGAATATGAAAAGTAAATAAGACATGGTTCTTGACTCAAAGAATTTACATTTCATTAGAAAGGCATATAAGACACAATTAGAAAGCATTAAGGCTTATCAAACACTCAAATATAAAACTTTATTTCCATATATATACCATTCCGTCATGAATGGGATTCTGTCAAATTTAGGATTATGTTCCACATAATTTTCAACCCAGGAGATGCTAACTGGAGTTCTGATTATGGGCAACTTTCTGCTGGTAGACAGACCTACAGTAGGGGAAGTAACGGATAAGCTGAAGGCTAAGGTGGAACATTGACTAACAACCGTTCAAAATTCGCAGACATCCATTTTTCTTCTTCAAATGGCCATAGCAAACTAGGTTTTCACTTCTTACCTTTGGAGAACTATGACTATTTATAAAGCACCAGAATAATCTGTGTCTAAAAAAGTACAAAGGAACAATAAAGCTTTTAAAATAACCAATAAACAACTTATTGGGATAAATAAAGGACATCAAAATTTCCATACTGTATAAAAAACTGAAGACTGTACGTTAGTGTTAAAAAAAAGCCATTCAATTTGTCAGTTGACTTAAGGCAAATATAAAACACATACTGTGGCTAAAAAATTAAAGGAGGAGGCAAAGACCTTGGGAGGGATGGGTACTTCAGTAAAATAAATTGTTTAAGTCCACCGTAACGTTCACATGCAACAAGAAGGACTAATATCCGCCAATTCTCAAATTACTTGGCAACTTGACATTAGATTTTGGAGAGGGCTAGAAAACAGGATGAATTTTTCAATTCTTAAAATATATAATATGGCCAAAGTTCCTGCAAAACATCACAAATTATTGCATAGCTTAATTTTAAATATGATTATTCACAAAGAAACTAGATCTTCATTAGTTATATACAACCTTAACCCAGAAACCAGTTTCTACTAAATAGATCTTGACTCATGGCAACTCATGTGTATCAGAGTAGAACTGTGCTCGCTCCCACAGAGTTTTCAATAGCTGATTTTTCTGAAGTAGATCACCAGGCATCTCTGGGTAGACTCAAACCACCAACCTTCTGGTAACAACTGAGTGCACTAACAGTTTGCACCACCAGAATCTTATTATTTAACAGTTACTATTCAATGGAATAGTAGGAAGTAAGCAAACACAAAACCAAAAAAAAAAAAAACCTCACTTCCACTGATTCAATTCCAACTCATAGCGACCCTACAGGACAGATTAGAATTGCCCCACAGGGTTTCCAAGGCTGTAAATCATTACAGAAGCAGACTGCCACATCTTTCTCCCACAGAGCGGCTAGTGGGTTCAAACCACCAAGCTTCTGGTTGTCAGCTGAGTACTTTCACCACTGTGCGACCAAGGCTCCCCCTTATAAACAAAATAATAATAATAAAAAAAACAAACTCATTGCCCTCGAATTGATTCTGACTCATGGCAACCCTACAGGACACAGCAGAACTGCCTCCTAGGGTTTTTATAAACAAAAACCACCCCTAGATTCACTAACAATTTTCAAAACAATTTTATTAGAATAACTGAACATTGTACTCTGCATAATAATTTGTCAGAATAAACAAACCATCTTCATTCAATTTATTGACTGATACTTATAAAATCAACAGTTCAAGAATCTGTCCTTTAACAAAATTTGTCACCTGTGTATCATCAAAATACTGTTTAGTCAATCGACAAATTAAGCAGAATCTTTGTATATAAAAATGAAAGTTATAATGAGATTTTTTTTGGAAAAGCAATTCTAAATGTACTACATTTTCTAAGTCAGCCATCTCATTTTGAACATCAGGGTTTAACCAATGTGAGTCATTATCACTGTGAATGTGTTGGGTTAATGTACTCATTTGTTGCCAGCAGTGTGATGCAAAGAACAAAAAGAACAAATACATAAATCAACCAAAAGCAAAGAGAAGACAACATAAAATGGCTTTGCAAAAATGACTTATAAGAACTATTTTGAAATTAATTAAAACTAAGAAATGCTAAGCAGCAACCAAAAAAAAGTTACCAATTAAAAATGGAAAGAATTATTAACTGCCAGGTCTTTTCAATTCAGAAAGCAACTGAAGAAAAATTACAAGCGTTAGGGAGTGGTATTTTTAAGAGTTGGGAAGAACCACAGGAATCATCTAGTACACTCTCCTTGTTTTACAAAACAGAAAATGGAGACTCAAAAAGGTTGTGACTTGCCCAATCCTTCTCTAAAGAATCAAGGGAAATCACATTAACTGTGTGATTAACTGGCAATTAAACAGTTCTCAAAAGAGAATTCACCAGTCCTCCTACATCTGTACCCATACACTCTGCTTTCCCTCCCCTGAAAAACCAAATGAGCTTTGAGTAGCAGAGCTATCTCCATTTACCTACTCAAAGGCTTGCTTTCTATAATTAACCCCTTTCCTGCTTTCTACCATCTATTTCTCCCTCCCAATAAAATCTTTTGTATCTCCATTAAGAAGAAGAAAAGAAAGACAAAAACAACTTCCCTAGACTTCAGGGCCCCCTCCAGCTCCTGCCTCATTTCTCAATTTTTATAACAAAATCCTTCAAAATAATTTTTTATAATTGTTGCCACCTCTTCCTCTACTTTAATTATCACAAGAATCGGGTGAAGTAGACATAGCACACATTATTACCACGTTATACGTGAAAGCAGAGACTAAGAAAACTTAAGCCACTTGTTCAAGGTCTCATAGCTAACAAGGAGCCCAAGTCTTCCAACTCCTAACCCAACACTCTCTCCATGACTCCAAGCAGTCAATAAATTTTTGCAATTAAAATGATATGACTCCAGGAGAAACTCTCAAGATTGAAGGCAAAATATTTAACCTGACGGCTAACTTTCCTGGTAACTTTAGTTGTTAGGGCAAATGTCCTACCTAAGAACACTTACAATTCAAATACTCATTGAACATCTCTGTGTATAACAGTATTAGGGTTAAGTGTAAACAATTTTTTTTTAATGTGTTATGTATTTGCCTTCTTTTCAAATGGAATGTGAAACATGGTTAGAACTTAGAAAAATAAAATTTTAAATACAACAGAGTAGGTGGGAAATGCTAAGTTGGTTTTAAAAACAGAGACTAAATGCAAATTAAATTCAGAAGCATTTTAACAGAACTTTGCTTCAGATAAGGGAGCTCAAGAAGATTTTTGATAGGGCTGAAATCGATAACTAGGCCTTATAGATTAACCTGAATCCTGACAGGCAAACTAGAAATGGGTATTGGAAAGCAGTTGTTTCCAGGATAATGAATACATTAGCTTATTAGCTGAAAAAACTTAGTGTACACCAGTAGGAAAAAAATTGGAGAACTAAGTGAAGGTCCAATGGTGGAGGAACATGATGTAGAGTTATGAGCAGGTAGGAATACAATCAATGCAATTACTTTAAAGAATCAATTTGATTTTCAAAAAACATTCAAGTAACAATTCAATCTTTATTCACACACTTTAAGAAAATAAAGAGGAAACCATTCATTTTTTTGCTGCAACCTTGATACCAAAACCAGATAAGAAAAATGTAAGAAAGAAAAATTACAGGCCATTACTTCTTCATAAAGAAATTTAAAAATCGTAAACAAAAATTTTAAAAAACCATACCCAACTACAAAAAAAGATAAAACAATATGATCAAACTAGGTTATTCCAGGAATGCAAGACTTGGTGAACTTAAAATATCTTTTAATGTAATCCATTCAGTCAGAGTGAAAAATCACATACAATCATCTAAATGTTAAAAAAAAAAAAAAAAAAAAAAGCAGCCAATAAAATTCAATACTTAGCCATTATTAAAAAAAAAAATAGAACATTTTCTTGCCCTACTAAAAACATGCACAAAGAACCCATGGTATGTAGACTCAATGGTAAAAAATTAAAAGCATTCCTTTTAAAATCAGGAACAAGACAAGAATATATACTTGTCACAACTTCCAGTCAACATTGTACTGCAGTTCCTAACCTGCACATTAAGATAACAAGACATAACAGATATTAAGATAGAAAAGGAGGGATCCAAACTTCACAGATAACTGTCTAAACAGAAAATAGGATCTCTTCCAGTTGGTTGGCCAGGAAGCTGTTTTCCAAATTTCTTTGCATAGATGAGTGAGCACTTTCAGTGCTGCATCTGTTTGTTGAAACATCTCAATGGGTATTCCATCAATTCCTGGAGTCTTGTTTTTCACCAATGCCTTCAGTGCAGCTTGGATTTCTTCCTTCAGTACCATCAGTTCCTGATCATATGTCACCTCCTGAAATGGCTGAACATCGACCAATTCTTTTTAGTACAGTGACTCTGTGTATTCCTTCCATCTTCTTTTGATGCTGCCCATGTTGTTTAATATTTTCCCCATAGAATCCTTCAATATTGCAACTCGAGGCTTGAATTTTTTCTTCAGCTCTTTCGGCTTGAGAAACGCCAAGTGTGTTCTTCCCTTTTGGTTTTCCATCTCTAGGTCTTTGCACATGTCATCATACCACTTTACTTTGTCTTCTCAAGCCACCCTTTGAAATCTTCTGTTTAGCTCTTTTATTTCATCATTTCTTCCTTTCGCTTTAGCTACTCGACATTCAAAAGCAAGTTTCAGAATCTCTTCTGACACCTATTTTGGTCTTCTTTTTTTTTCCCTGTCTTTTTAATGACCTCTTGCTTTCTTCATGTACAATGTCCTTGATGTCATTCCACAACTTGTCTGGTCTTCGGTCATTAGTATTCAACGTGTCAAATCTATTCTTCAGATGGTCTCTAAATTCAGGTGGGATATACTCAAAGTTGTACTTTGGCTCTCATGGACTTAATCTAATTTTCTTCAGTTTCAACTTAAACTTGCATATGAGCAATTGATGGTTTGTTCCACAGTCAGCCCCTGGACTTGTTCTGACTGATAATATTAAGTATTAACATAGGGACAGACAAATAAAAGAATGGGGCAAAGAGCCCAGTAACACAGCCATAAACATAGGGGAAAATTAATATATTGACAGAGCTGGAATTGTCTCCATTGGGGAAACAATGAATTTTCAACAAGTAGTTCTGGGATGATTGTTCATCATAAGTAAAAACATTAAATTGGCTATCTATCTCACACCACACAAATTGATTTCAAGTAAATAAGGATTCAAAGGGCCCCAACTTTAAAATTTGTAGAATGAAGAAAAATATCATTAAGGCCTTGGAGATAAGGGAGAACGTCTTAAAATAAGAAACAAAAAAGCACTAATCAGAAAAAGGAAATTAATAATTTTACTACATTAAAATTAAGAAATTCTATTAAATAGAAGACAGTGCACGCATGCGTGCACATGCACACACACAAAACAAGCTACAAACTAGTATACTTGAAATACCCCTAACAGACCAAAGATTAACATCCGGAATACATAAAGAATATCAATAAATAAGAAAAGACAACCTATCTGAAAAACAGGCAAAAGACATGAACAGGCATTTCACAGGAAAACACACACACAACCAGTAAATGTATTGGAAAAAAAAAGTGCAACCTCACCAATGATCAGGGAAACACAAATTAGGAACAGAAAGGATACTGCTTCACACCCCAACAACCACTAGCAAAAATGTAAAAGTGAGACAATATCATCTGTGAAAGAGGATATAAGGAAGTCCCGGTGGCACAGTGGCTAAGCACTAGGCTGCTAACCAAAAGGCCGGCAGTTCAAACTCGCTAGCCACTCCTTGGAAACCCGAAGGGGCAACTTTACTCTGTACTATAGGGTCGTTATGAGTTGGAATCAACTCGAAGGCAATGAGTTTGGGGATGGCGCAACAGGAGAAAGACCTGGTCATCTGCTACTGTAAAGATTACAGCCAAGAGAACCCTATGGGGCAGTTCTACTTTGTTATATGAGGTCGCTATAAGTCAGACTCAACTCCATGGCACCCAACAACAACAAAGAGAATACAGAATAAAGGGAACTGCTGGTGGGAATGTAAATTGGTACAATCTCTTTGAAAAACAATTTAGCTACCAAACACAACCACAAATG